TGGGGAAAAAAAGAACATTCATAGAATTTTGAAGTCAGGTTTCCCAATTCCATGAGTAATGCCTGTGGACTCCAACAGGACAGAGATGAGGAAGAAATGTCACAACTAGCTCGCAGAAACAAAGATGAACACCTCTGACCAAGGGGCAACAGTTGGTATCCATCCCAGAAGGTTGCTGAGATTCATTGTGAAAGAATCACAGGAGCCTGGCAGGGGAGCCATGAGCCCTGAAATCAGCATGGGTTTTCTGATGGTCCATAGTCAGACTGTTACCCAAGCCATGGTTGTCATGATTATCAGACTGCAGATAAGGAAGTGTGGTAGACATTGCAAATCTGTGATTCAACCTGAAAATTATGAGCAACAGTGATAATAAACTATAATCTGGGTGCTAGCACAATGAGACGGTTTGCCAATTGTACATGGGATGGTTTGCTACTTGTACAAAGGACAATTTGCTAGTCGTACAATGAGATGGTTTGCTAGTTGTACAGGGGATGGTTTGCTCATTTGGATGACAGCACACATGGTACCCATTCAGGGGCAGACTGTGACAGAACCTTCTGACATCATGCTGATCTTAGTCCCCCAGCATGCTGCTCATTGTTTCTATAAGTGATGGAGACAAAAAGAGGGAGCCAAGTTCACCAAGTCTAAAGATGTTGAGAAGCCATAAACACAGTGTAGTGGGTGACAGAATGAATGGGCAAAAAGTCAGCTCAGAATCAAACACCCAGTCAGATCTAAAGTAGTAAAATTTAGTAGAGAAAATAAAAGATCATGCACCTAGATTTAAACAGACAACGGCATAGATACAAATTTGCAAAGCAGCAAGAACAGAAATTTTAAGTATTTGTATAGTAAGTTCACTGAGCTTGGTGAGCCAGTCCCATCCAACTATACAACTGTCTAGCTTCACTTTCATCCAGGTAATTCTCCACACCTTCACCTATGACTTTCAGATTTAAGAAGAGATGCTCAGTGCTGACACAACTGACCCAGGACAGTGCCCAGGGTCACCAAAATCACAGCCCTGATTTTCTTGCCCTAGTTACTGGCACCTATGAATGCATTACAGCAAAAGGGGCTTTTATCCTGGGTACCCAGGTGTCCTGGTACAATCACAAGAGTCCTTAGAAGTGGAACACCCATCACCATGGAAATGGAAGAAGGAGGAATCCCAAAGCCTGAGTAGGATTCGTTCTCCTGCTGCAGAAGCCAATAGCAGAAGAGGAGCCACAGCCGAGTGATGGGAACGGGCCTCAGCCAACAGCTGACATGAAAATGGGAATCTCAGTCCTACAGCTGCAAGAACTGGGTCCTGATGTTCACACGCCCTGTCCACAGCACTTCCTATCAATCTGTAGGCACACACATTTTTAGTAAAGCTGGGCCTGACATTCTGGGCCCTCCAGGAAGGCACACTTCCTGTACTTACTATGTCTTTGGGGTTATTAGTAATGTCAGATGTTGGGTAAGATTATAGATCCTACAGATATGTTTTGACACATCAATGCTCTGTGTGAGCACTATCTCTGTGATTACGTCTGGGAACTGATACGTCATGGGAAACTCAAATGACTAGATGGTTAGACAAGATTCACATCTAAAAGTGGGTTCCCAGAGACAGTGTGCACAGGACACAAAGAGTGAAGGATAAAGGCAGAACGAAGACCTGTGGTTACATAAGTTTGAAAACTGCCACTAATTACCTGTTTCTATTTGACGGCCATGATGGGGCTCATTTGTCCATGGCTTTTGGGGTCCTGCTGGTATAACTCATTGTCTCCCACACCTACTTACCACAGAACCTTCTGAGTCCCACATGCGTAAATAGTGAGCAGGACCAGGCCTCCTTGCCATGTGCCAATAGCACCACTGGTGTAAGAAAACTAGGAAATCCCATCTAACAAAAAGTGTTCTTTAAGGAATACATATTCAGGGGATACCCTCATTTTTTTCATTCAGAGATAGGCACAGCGGTTCTTGGGGACCAGTCCCTGTGCCAAGAGCAATAGGACTCCAGCAGCCACACACACGGACCCAGCAGCTCAAAGGATCTCTCCAGCACCTTCATTGCCCTACCCAGCATCACCACCAAGCAAACGGTGACTGACCTCCAGGCAGCATGCTGGCTCCCATACCAGTTAACTCCAGTCAGCCAGAAAGTGTGCAAACCTAAATTCTACAAGCCTCACTGATTTCCAGCTGGTTCTCTTTTCATTGTGGTCATACCTGGATTTATAAATCGTATTTGCTGAAAAGTGTGTCTTGGAATGACTTTTCTGCCTTTTTTAGAAGGTATCTGGCATCTAGTGAGAAGCTGAACTTTCACATGACTTTTGCATTTAAGGTTTGGAGCCATATAAATATCCTACCCTTTCAAATGAAACGCAGAGCACTAAGATCTCACCAAAATGAGCTGTGTGCATATGGTAAGTGATAACTCAGCTTCTGCCTTTCAATTTTAACATTTCAAAAAAGACTATTAAAACACAGAAAAAGAAATTGTTATGTCAGGAAAAGCTTGATTCTAGAGTAACATTTTTAACATAGTATAGAAAGTTAAATTTTCATTGCAGTACAGTAATGTAACTTCCTAGAGCCACTATTATTAGGCACAATATGCAAAGGCAAGTGTCTCAGAAAGTAAGAGCTAAGCATTAATTCATTCAAAAAAGAGAAGAGCACCCACTAACATGTTCTGCTGCAGTGCAGTTAGCTAAGGATAAACTTTCAGAAAGACCAACTACTGGAAGGCTCTGAGCTGGGACCAGGGCTGGGTGGGACAGAGATGGGGAGGCAAAGAAAAGGAAGTGTCCAAGACCAAGAGGAGGCTACTGAAAAAAGCCAGTGCCTCTGCTGTTTCCGACCAGGCACAGGCCTACCCGAGAAAATGCAATGCAGGGAAGAAATCAGATATATTTATCAGAAAATTATCACTGAAGAAACTGTGCTGAATTCGGTTTCAATTTGACAGCATTTAGTATCAAGCTGCACAGTTTATTAAGTCAGATTTTAAATGTGTGCTTCTTTTCATTAAAAAGTGATGGCTGTGCGAGACAAAGAACAAAAAATAAATAAGAGCTTGTACATACGTATGTGAGTGTGTGTTTGTAGATGTGTAAGCATGTTTGTGTGTAGATGTGTGGGTATTTATGCATGCGAGTATATATGTGTGTCTGTGTGTACCTGTGTGCACGTGGGTATTCCTGTGTGTGTGCAGGTGTCTGCATGCATGCACATGTAGTTGTGCATATGTATGTGCGCAGGTATATATGCTGTGAATTAAGTATGAGTCATACACTGGGCACTACTTTACTTCTATTACCTCTGGAACCTCACAGAAACTCTTTAAGGCAGACAGTATACCCATTTCATAGAGGAGCTGCAACCTGTCTACTCCCCATCGTCATCACTTACCCACCGCTGGCTCTCTGTCTCATTACATCCTAGTGAAATGCTGTAAAATTCCCACAACATCTTAAATTATATATTTATTTTAAAACTTCTTACTAATATCAACATTTCTCTTACTATAATGATTCAATAAATTTATGTTCTAAATTCATTTGAATTGTGGGTGCACTGGTTTTTGTACTTCTTTATAAACATCAGGGGAGCTGAAACTCTAGGCCAGCTTCCTTCTGCTTTTGAATGAGGGTAGTTAAGAAAAAGCCAGAAGGTTTTTTCCAGTGATTTGTTTACTAGTTTATATATATATTTTTGGTTTGGTTTGGTTGCTTTTGCATTTTTTGTTCCTTTTGCTAGATTATAAGCTCACTTTTATGTATGTTTCTTTATCTGCAATGGACCCTTCCACTTACGAACTCACTTTGTTCCAGAGGGTTGGTTGTAATTCAGGTTGGTCAACTGAAAGCTCAGGCTCCTCCACACAGCTTTCAAAGTCTCTCTCCTGTACACAGGCAGATCTCAGTGTCCTTAGATAGACATTGGCCCAGGATTTCTCAATCAACCCCATACAGGAAAGGATACTGTAATGCTCCTTCCAGAATTCTTTAAGGGTTAAATCTGTATCTGGGACCACAAGCACAAGTGGCCAGCATTTGGGTTGTAACTCAAGACTTTGTTCATAAGGTAAAACTAAAATTCCAGTCATAACCCAAGTTGTTTGTATGTCAGGCCAGCCGTAATTCAAGGGTCCACTATATATCTTTGACCATCTTAAGAATAGCTTTAACTTCATCGTATTCCTTTGTCACCGTGCTGGTCTCTGCAGTGTGTTTCCTACACTAGTGGGGCATGGGCAGTGAGCATCTCAGACTCATTATCCTGAGGCACTCTTCTGTGGCCATCAGTTCAACTTCATAATAGCCGTGGCACCTGCAGCCCTTCCCAGGGCTTTGCCTGTGTTATGCTGACTCTGACAAAGTTTTTCAGCCCATTGGGCCTTTGAAATAACTCCCAAGACGTTTTCTTGCCCACCCAGCCTCAGGGTCCCAAGGCTCCCCACCACTCCACTGTCACTCAATGCTCCAAAAACATTGCTTAGCTTAATCTTCACCTTGTGCATTTGGTCAAATAAGAAAAAACTGCATTTCTAGGGCTCAGGGTATAGCTAAGCGGTAGAGGCTTTCCTAGCATGCATGAGACTGAGTTCCATCCCCATCGTCAGAAAAGAAAAAAAAAATTGCATTTTTCTGCAGCACAACCTAATGTCTCACCGCTGCTCCCTATGTGCGGAAGTGAGGCCCAATCCATTGCCTCCATTCTAGCATGTGGCAGTGAAAATAAAAGCACTCACTGAGCCCTTAGAGAGGCGGAGCTCTTCTGGAAAACATGGTCCTCTCCTGAAGCCTCAAGGACAGTGGGCTTAGGAAAGTGGAAGGTCCTGGGTATGCCAGGTAATAGGGCCACTGTGCTGCATCCCAGAGGGACCATCCCGAGTCAACATCTCTGTTGTAGGCTAGAGGATCCATGAATCTCAGAAAGCTGGAAAGAAAAGCTGGTGTGGGTGGAAGGGACTTGGGCTTGCTCACCTCAGGAAATGCGCTGATCCCAAGTGGGTTGTTGAGCCCTAGGTGGTTGTCCCGTTCCCCATATCACCACTGTGAGGACCACTCTGTCAACAAGATGCAATTTTCTATGTTTAAGAGCAGTGAGACACTAGAGAAAGTTGCTGAATTACCACTTCCTATTTAAAAGCAACGCCTACCTGCCCAAATGCACATGGTTAACCATATACATCCTGAAGGTTATTTAAAAAAAAACATGAAAATCAATCATATGACTCTTGGCATCAAGACAAATCAATAGTAAAATGGGTTCTGGGGAGAACCCAACATTGCACCTTCTCGAAGAAGAGAATTACAAGCCAGGGCTGATGGTGCATACTTGCAATCTCTGGAAAACTAAGGCAGGAAGATCATAAGTTCGAGCACACCCTGGGCAACTAAATAACTGTCTCAAAATTAAAAATGAAAAACAACAACAAAAAAAGCCTGGAGATGTAACTCAGTGCAAAGGCCCTGGGTTCAATCCTCAATATAAATACACACACATATGTACGCATGCATGCACAGCTGGTACACAAACAAAAACTCCTGCGACTAAGTGTTGCTGTGAGCTGGCCGGGTGGCTGTAGGAATGTTCAGGGTGCCTGAGAGGCATGGGCTGGTCTGAGCCTGTGCCCCCTACCCCCCACCACCAAGCTGTGCAACCATAGGAGGGATGCAGACCCCTCCCATGCCACAGCCCCACTAGGGCAATAGCCTACTGTGACTTGCGAGGGATAGGGCAGAGTGCAGGAGAGGCAGTGGGATGGAGCTGGAGGACAGCCATTCCCAGGAATGTCCCCAGTAGTGCTGTGCTGTGGAATCATAGGCTTAAACCCCTACCTTTCCAGCGCTAGGACCACCCTTTCATTAGACAGGTGGAGGGAAGTAATGGGTGAGGATTCAGAGGATTTATTTTAAGGTGTGAGAGAGAGGAGAGAGATAAGAACTGCAGAACAGTGACATTATTCATACCTGGGCTGCCATAAACCCAGCCTCAGGAAGTGCAGAGAGCTTCACTGTGGACCCTCTTTCCCTCGAAGTGCATGGCCTGCCTTCTCCACCCAGCTGATTATGTGTCTCTACTGCCCAGAACTCTTGCCCTAGCCCTGCTTGGTCCAGCATATGTTCAGCTGCAGCCCCACAGCCATCCTGCCACTGAGGGACCTTCGCCCATCTGACTCCAGGTCACTTCCAGGCGCTTCTGCTGCTTCCCACCAGCCTCTGCCTGGGCCAATCAGCTGCTCTCCCTGCATGGGAAAAGCCTTTCACTGATCTAGTATTCTGCCGACCTGGTTGCCACAGGGGCCTATAGTGGATGTCTCTGTCCCTCCCTCTGAACAACTCTTTCCTTCCTGAGTTCTGCTTCGTGGTTCTCTGACTGGGCCTGCAATTTGCCTGGGCTCTGGGTGGCCTGGTTGTCTTTCCTGTAGGAAGAGCCTCCGCTGTCCCTGGATAGAGAAGAGAGCTGGGAACACCTTCCTTCTTCCTTCATTCCTTCTCCTCCTTCCTCCAGCATACGCTTCTGCTGTTTGAGGAGAGCGGAAGCAGCTAGAAGATCTGCCCACCTGAGCCCCAGACACTTACAGAGGAAGCAACAGCCCTCATGGGTATTTAGGGAAATGTGCTTCTGCATTCTCCAGCTCTTTAACCAAATGCTCTCCTTCACCTTCCCCTTTCACAGTCTCATTCGGCATGAATGAGATGCTAGTAGATTGCTGGCCCTCAAAACACCCTGCTTAGGGAAATGACAACAAAGTTAACTTTGCTAAGAACCCAAAAGAATGTTAAACAGATATGTGGACCATTGCGCAAAGCACTTCTAGTCAGATACACAGAAGGACTGAGGGGAGAGGATCGTGTGGTCCCATCTCACTTCCCTCCTTGGAAACAAGCCCAGAGCTGTAGGCAGGCGGAGAGAAGCCAAAGAGAGGCCTCCTCCTTCCGTCCAGGACAGGGGAATGAACCACTGAGCATCTGGGCTCAGCCTTTGAAGCCTCCCAGCCTGAGCCCTGGCCTCCAATTTGTATATCTGTGGGTGAGGCCGGGCTGTGGCCCCTTGGCCTCTACAATGCTCTTTGTGTTTTTTGCCTGAGATGACAGCCATTGCCTCAAATGGCAGTGTGTGAGTGTCATCCAGCTGGGTCCAGCTATGGGACAACTTAGCCCCCAGCCACCCTCTGCAAGAGCTGCTCTGCTGACCTGTCAGCCACAGCCATGAGAGGGCCCAGGTATAGTCACCTGAAGCCACCATGATCCAAGGTAGTTGGCTATGTTCTCTACTCCTCACCAGACACTCAAAACTTTGGAAATAATGGAGAGCATTAAAATATAAAGCAAAATAAAAGCCTACTTCACTTGTTTAATAAAATAAGTGCATACTGTCTCCAACAAAGCCAGCAGTTAGAACAGCAGCTGGAAGGGAGAAAGGGAATCTAAATGGTGCTACTGCTGGACACCAGCAAACTGGAAAGGCAGAGTGCCAAGTCCTGTGGTGGTCTGAGTGTGCCAGGGGGTTCAGATCTACACCTTTTCCTCCATATGGAAATAAGGATTTTCAATAAATTATGTCTGCAAACTCCTCCATTAGGAACAAAAATGTATTATTTCATAGAAAGAATTACAAGCTATGCTAATACATTTTGGAATTTACAAAGACTTGTATATCCTTCCTGTGCACTTCAAAGGTGATAGATCTGGGAAGTTTGGCAACTGTCACTATGCCCTCAACTGAAGACTGTCCCCCTTGGCTTCTCAGGTGACTTAGCTTGAATGCTGACAGAGAGGGCTATGCATGCCTGCTGCAGCACATATGCTATAGGCTCGCCACCAGTGGCCTGGAGAATGCTTAAATGCTCACAAGCAAGAAGCTGGCTGAGAGTCTGTGAGATGGGAAGGGCGGGAGCTGAGCTGGGAGGATGAATCAGACTGCTCAGGGAGGAAGGCACAAGGACACATGCCAGGAACAGAGCATGGGCAAGGTATGGGGTGCAGGAGGCACCAAAGTGGACCAAAGAAGGTCCCAGGAGGAGAGCAGAGGAGGTAGGACAAAGAGCTGGAACTTGGGTGACAGGGTGAGGGCACAGATGTCCACACTGTGGGATCAGGGTAGCAGATCCTTGGGACAGGCAAGGAGGACACAGTAAGCAAGTGCCTATGATGGCACTCCTGTGCCAAGGTCTTGGCCCAGTGGCCAATCACTTTTCATTAATTGTTACCCAGGCCTTGGTGGCACAGCCATCATCAGATCATAGACAAGACAACAGAAAGTCAGAGACATAAAGCCTACTTGCCTAATGCCTCAAAGATCGAGGCCTCAAAGCCATGTTGTTTGACCCCAAAGTGCATGTATTTCCAGGATAAGCTTGAAGAGGAAGTGATGTTTGGGAGACATTTTGAAGAATCAGTAAGGAACAAGGGGTGGGAGAATAAAAAACAAAGCATATTCACTATCTGGACTGAAATAGGGAAATCAGGACTGGAAACTAATCTCTAAGTTTATAACTTACTTTTACATGAAAGAAAAGTTATATTTACAGAAATTCAAGGTACAAATATGTGACAACACAAGCAACCCAATACAGCAGTGGGTATGCATGCCTCAACTTTCTGGGCTAAGCAGAAGATCATGGGTTTCACTTAACATGTGCAAAATGGGAGGAGGTCCAGGTCTGTGGACTTGAAGACTTGAGGGCATTCTTGACGATTTCAGGTTCATATCAGCCATGAATTGGTTATTTTTTCCGATTAATCTCTGGGTGTCTACCTTTGCATGGACAGAAGATGGATTGGTGACTTGGAAATAACGGACTTGTGGATCAGCAGTTGGTGTGCGGCAGCAGCCTGGTATTATTATAACTACTATGTAGGAAGAGACACAGGGATGGCAATGCACTGAGAGATTCTAACCGAGCTCAGGGGTGTGGGTGGCTTAAAGGAAGCAGAAGGACACCTAGAAATCAGGAATAGAGACAGACAAGAACGCTACTCACAAACCAATGAAGGATTATTCACAAAGGCAAGGGAGAAGAGGGCTTAAAATGCCTGCAGAGTTGAGGATAAGGATGGACACGAAGGACAGATGTGTCTAATTGCTCAGGTTCACTGTGCCTCTAAGGATAAATTCAGGATGAGTGCTCCATGAAGGCTGTCCTGCAGGAAGTAAGAAGGATTCTGAGGAAATAGACCACAGCAGCAGAAAGTGCTCAAAACTTGAAGACACTCAGAAAAGAGGATGGAGATACAGAGGGCAGCAGGCCTGAGGAAAAGTTGATTTTGTTAACACTAAGGTGTCATCAGATAACCCTGCATGGCACTCTTGACCCACACATGACTTCAGTTGCAGGAATAGGGGGACAGAGATACAGGGACCAGGGAGGACAAAGATGTAGGGTCCGTGAGGAATAGAGATGCAGGGACTATGGAAGAGAAGGACACAGGGCTTGGGAGGACAGAGAAGCAGAGATCATGGAGGATGCAGAGAAAAGGGATAGGAAGGATCACAGATTCAGGGACCAGAAAGAAAAGAGATGCAGAGACATAGGGAATGGAGACTTTGCTCTCTGCCACTTCAATTTGTGAGCTGAGACTCCTCATGTCTAGCCAGAGGAGGCACCAGCCCTAAGGCACAGCCCTCGCTCACAGCAGAGATGACAGGGTCTGGTTTTCCTAGCAGCCTTGTCCTTCTGGCTCTTTCTCCTGTTGGGACACCAGCAACAGGAAGCCAAACCTCCCTGTGTGCCCGGGAGTTCCTAGAAGCTGAGTGCTTAAAGCCATTCCAGTCTTACAAGCCCAGCGTGGTGGTCATCCTAACCTCACAGGGCAGAAGCAGTGAGGAGCCCTTCCCTCTGCTGGTGGAAGCAGACAGCACACCAGGGTGGAAGGAAGAAGAATCAAGGAGGGCGGTAGGTGTGATGAATTAAATAATGGTCAACTTGGAGCACCCAGCTGAAATGAGTCAGCGTGGTTCTAGGCGTGGAAGACCCTCCTGAGGATTGTTGCCAACAGCATAAGAAGAGAACTGGAGGGGAAGATTGCCAGCTGTTGATTTTCTTGGAGAAGCTCGCCT